TGGTACTCCACTTGTGACATTTCTCCAGTCCGATACATTGCCTCTGATTACTGCCCTCATTTTTCTGTCAGTCAGAAAATTTTTCATCCATGTTAGAAGCTTACCTGTCACCCCTCCAATATTTTCCAGTTTCCAGAACAACCGCTTATGTGGAACTCTATCGAAAGCCTTTTTTAGGTCCAGATAGATGCAGTCAACCCAACCATCTCTTTCCTGTAATATCTCTGTGGCTCGATCATAGAAACTGAGTAAATTCGATACACAGGATCTTCCAGATCGAAAACCATACTGTCTGTCTGATATTATATCATTTCTCTCCAGCTGTTCTACCCATTTAGTTTTGATTAATTTTTCCAATACTTTCACTATTACACTTGTCAATGATACAGGTCTATAATTGAGGGGGTCTTCCCTGCTGCCACTTTTGTAGATTGGAACTATGTTAGCCTGTTTCCACACGTCTGCTATGATTCCTGTACACAGGGATGCCTGAAAGATCAGGTGAAGTGGAATGCTGAGCTCAGATGCACATTCTCTCAGAACCCATGGTGAAACTCCATCTGGGCCAGCTGCTTTGTTCTTACTGAGCTCCTTTAGCATATTTTCCACTTCATCTCTAGACACCTCTATCCGCTCTATGTTGTTCTCTGGAATTCTTATTGTGTCTGGTTCTCTGAAGATTTCATTTTGTACAAACACACTTTGGAACTTTTCATTTAATGTTTCACACATTTCCTTTTCATTTTCTGTGAATCTGTTTCCCATTTTCAACCTCTGGATATTATCCTTTATCTGCAATTTGTTGTTTATAAATTTGTAGAATAGGCCCGGTTCTGTTTTACATTTATCCGCTATCCCTTTTTCAAAATTTCTTTCTGCCTCTCTCCTCACTGCCGTATAGTTGTTTCTCGCATCTTTGTATCGCTGGTATATTTGGGGGTTTGGCCTCTTCCTATACTGATTCCATTTTTGTGTCTTTTGGTCTCTGGCCCTCTCACAATTTCTGTTGAACCAATCCTGTTTTCTGACCCTGCATCTCTGTTTTGGTATGAATGTTTGTGTGCCTTCCTCGTATATTTTTAAAAATTTGGCATACATTTCATTTACTTTCCTGCCTAGCAACAAGTCTGACCAATTACACTCATTAAAAAAATTTTGAAGTTCCCCATAGTGACCTCTCCTTAAATCGAGTTTATCAACTGTTTCAATGTCCCCATTTTCTTCTAGATGATATCTTAAAGCATAATCAATGTCTAACAGGATGTGATCACTCTTTCCCATGGGAGGAAGGTACTGGATGTCAAATATCTCTTCTTCTTTCCTGGTGAATACTAGATCCAGTACTGACGGTACATCTCCTTCCCTCATTCTTGTGGCCTGCTTTATGTGTTGATACAAGCCTGTTGTGCCTCCGCCATGCTGCCTGTTGGGTCTTTGTTTCTTGTGACCCGGAGTCTTCCAACGATTGTTGTCAGTACACACACTCCTTCACCCAGGCCACTGGTCATGATAATCGGGTGCAGGCAGCTGTGGCGTTGCTTGCTGGGGTATAGGTTGCTGCAACGCTCTTGGTTGTTTGCGGCCCCGGATGCCCCGAGGCTGCCCCGTTTTGGTGGTTGGGGTCCGGACTTGGGGGTGGGGGTCGCTTTGACTCTGGCTCCTTCCGCTTCTTGTCCTTCCCCTTTTGTTCTACACACTTCCGCCCTTGCTTCCTGCTCCGAACCATAGGCGGGTTTCGGGGTTGGGGCGGGGTCTGGTTGGGTTGAAACTCGGGCGGTCTCGGGTTTTCCTCTTCCGCGGTGGCGGCGGAGGCATTCGAATCAGTTCCTCCAGCCATGCCGTATGGGTCTGACCAGTGGGCTCCCTTCATTAGTGTTTGTATGGCTGCCCTGGCTTTTCCTTGTCAAGCAGGGGCTTTGGGGATGCGGCTCGGCCCTGGGTCATGCCGTCGAGGTTCCGGGGTTAAGGAGGGGTTGCATGGGAGGCCGCGGCCCCGTTTGCCCCTCTTGGGTCTTTGTACCTTTGGTGAGGGGCTGGCAGTTTCTCAGAGTGGGGTTGTTCCTTCCCTCTGTGTTCCTGTTGTTTTCGGGTATACCCCTCCCTGGGTTCGGTTCCGTGTTCCTTCGGGTTTGTCGATCCCGTCGGTCCTGGGGGTGTGTTTCACCCCCTTTTCCTTACCCTTTTCGCTCTTACGTCGTGATACTGTTCGAAAAAAAAAATGTGTTGTGTTTCGATTTGCGTTTTGCGCTTTCGATCATGGCGTTAGTTTCTTGTCGTTTGTGTCGGCACTGGTGGGTTCGTTATTGGTCTCCCACCTGCATGTTTCGTCTCGGGGGTGGTGTGTGGTTTTCCTGGTGGTCTTTCCGGTTTTCCTATCACTGTGAAGGGTCCTTCGGTCTTTGAAAAGGTTGGCTTGTCTTCCCTTCGGGGTTGTTCCGGGACCGCGTCTGGGATCGTGTTCTGTCACCTCATATTGGGTGGTGCTGGCGGAGCCGCTCCTGCTTGCATTCAGTGTTGCGGTTCCTTCTGCTCCATTCCACTTGCTGTCCTGGGCGTTGTTTCCCTCTGGCCTGCTCTTGGTTCTGGTGCCGTCCTGGTAGTTGGCCTGGGTGGTCTATTCTCTTCTCGTTTTGGTCTTTGTTTTGTCTCTGGTTTTGGTTGTTTGGTTAGGACGCATGGTATCTGCCTCCCAGTTCCTGCCCTGTTTTCCTTATCTGTGGTGAGGTAGCTCCGGGGAGCCGATGGGGCTCCCCCCAGAAAACCAGCGTTGAATGTAATGAAACGCTGGACGAGTCCCGGAGTCATTTTCTGTGCAAGTCCCGGAGGCTCCTCGGCATCCCTCCCTCCCTCCGGTCGGCGGCGTTTTTTGCGTATTTTGACATCCAGCCTAAGAACTGCCAGTTGGATCACCGGCGTGGAGGGTCTGGGGCTCCTCCTTCCCCCTCTCGGGGAGGGGGGAGTTGCGCAGACAGTGGTGCGGCGACGTGATGACGTCATGCTAGTTTGATCATTTTGTTTTGGGAGTTCAGTCCACTCGTTCGGCTTTCAGTAGCAATATTTTCACCAGAATAGGGGTTTGTTTTGGGGCGCCTACCTTTCTGGGTGCCTATCCCGGTCGATGGCAGACATAGAATGCTCCCAACCACATGGGGGTTTCTATAGGCCATTGCTCCTCGTGCCTCTCTGAGGGGGCCAGGTTCTGGCTCGTGGTCCCCGGTAGGCAAGAACTCCTAGCACTTTGACTGATGCCAGAAAGTTATACATATCCATTCAGCCTGGATAGCTCCGGGGAGCCTCCGGGACTCACCCAGAAAATGGCGTTTCGTTACATTCAACGCTGGTTTTTTGGGAGTCAGGAACGGATTCATTAATTTCCCATTATTTCTTATGGGGAAATTCGCTTCAGTTTACGAATTTTCAGGTTACGCACCGTCTCCAGTAACGAATTAAATTCTTAAACAGAGGTACCCCTGTATTGTATGTATGTTGGGGTAGCATTGTAAAAGCACTCCGATAACCACATGTGGTTTAATGTTTAATAACTCATTATGTATTGTAGCAGCTCTATAACCCTGTCTACACATTACTGACAAAAATGTATGAATGTTGGTTTGCACTGTAAAAGCATTTTAATCACATGTGGTGGAGTACTTAGTAACCCACTGCACAATTTGCAGAAGAACAGAGCTCCAGCCCTGTCTATATAATACAGACGAGAATGTATGTATGTTGGTTAGTACTGTACTGTATTGTAAATTAATGGCTGCATATGTGGTTAAAAGAAAAAAACTAAAAAAATGCATCCAAAGTTTGGCAGTGCAGGATCCTGATTAAAGGCTGGGATGTAAACCGGTACTGCGGTTATACCGGGCCGATGGAATGTGGCACACACACTTCTCATTAATATAAAATAAGAAAAAACTGCATTGGCCTTTGCAGTGTGAAAATTGTACAGGAGTGAAGGCATACTCAAGCCAAGTATTATAACAATCTAATATTAAACTAAACAAATAACATGAAAAATACACAAAACCCCTAACTTGGCTAACACACACAAGCAATAATAATAATAATAACAACAAAAGTACATGTACAAACTTGCATAACACAAAAATAAGGGTGACACTGAAAGTATTTACATGACCATTTCAATCGGTACATGAAGCAGCTGGAGGCAAGCATCGCATTGAGGCCATAAAGTTGATTGCCTGAGCACCTGAGAGAGACTGATGAATGGGTATGTATACCCCTTTGATGGTGACATCACATTCTTTGTCACCGAGGCTTGGAACTAGGAACCAGCGGCATAACAGGTAGTTCAGAGACGTAACGAGGAACCGGCAAGTCTGCACCTGCCTAGATGGCTTCCTAGAGCCCCGGAGGCTCCCTGTCACTCTCCCTTTCGGGGAAGTTTCTAGCCTCTGTTTGGTCTTAGATACTGAACCAGTACACCCTCCACTCGGGCTGGGTGGAGGGTGTACTGGTAGTGGTGTCCAGACTTTCGTCTGCGACTGAGTATACCGGTTGTATTATGAGGTATGTAGAGTGGTGAATAACGAATGTAAGATGGAAGAGGCAGTTTTCTCTGCTATGCTGGGAAATTATGTGACACAAGGCCTTGTGACTTTAGTATCACACAACTAGCTCTTGACATGAGCTCTTCACAACATAGAACCCTTCATATAGTCTAAGGTAGCTTTATAAATGACCAGGTACCTCAGTATCACATAGGGTAGCTGCATAAATGCAAATGCACCACAGTATATTAATTAAAATAACAAATATCTTAATATTCAAATTTACAGCCCACAATGAGTCACTCAGTACACAGTAAACCATTTTTCATCCTATTGCTGAGTAACTCATGTGAAACCTTAAATAAATTTATAATTTCTTAACACTTTTGTGACTCCAGTTGTTAGTTTTCAATACTCAGTGTGCACCTGACTTTTAAATATGCTAGTAGTTCAGGAGCTAATGTTGTTTTCCCATTGTTATAGGTATCAAAAACAACTGTATGGCGCCGCCTCAAACGCTTAAAGCAAGAAGACCCTATCATCAACTCTTCTGTAACTTCAGGAAGTACCCAGAATGTTAAAATTGAAGTGGTAGAAGACATCACGAATAACCCTCTGAACAATACGTATGATGAAATTACTATGGGGTATGCAGAAGATGGGGAACTGCAGTATGTAGGAACAGTTACTGGCCAGAGTCAAGTGAAGACACTTGACTATGAAAATGCAACAAGATTTACCAACTCTGGTAATACTGAAAAATGTCCTCAAACGAAGGGTCAAAATATTCCGGAGGCTAAGATGAGCAGCAGCAAGAGCGATACGCTAGGAACGGTCTCCGAGTCTTCCATAGTAACCAGAGAAGGACAAGATATGGTGATAACATCACAGGCATCGTCATTCATGAAGAGTGATCATCTAGGAATACTGACAAGTGAGGGACACATAATCCACAGTGGAGCTCCACTGACCATCGCACAGGGAGGCAAGATTATGGCACAGGCAGAACCTTCAGGAGACGGGACAGGGAATCCTCAGTTTGAGTTGGAGATGCCTCTTGTTAGTAACTACTTTTCTATTGTTATGAAATAACTCACAATTTTGTTGTTGTTCTTTTGTGTCTGAAAGTTCAAAGCATACCAATGCTATATATATCTTACAAATACTTCGACTTTTTAACACTTTACCACTTTTGTATTTTTTAGTAAGATTTTCATGACAATGCAGAGAATGTCACAATAATGTGGCTGAAAATAAATAACCCAACATACATATAAGAAAAGAAATGAATTGCAACAGTTCAATCCGTCCTGGATCGTAATGAAGATGTTGTCATCTATTTCTTTTCTTTTCTGTGTGGAGCTATTGGACTGATATTAGCTATTATTAGTCTGGGTCTTCAGTTATATGGAGTTGTCATGCCTACCGGGGACCATTACCCAGAACATGGTCCCCTCAGAAAGGTGCAGGGAGCAATGGCCTATGAAACTCCCTTGTATGAAAGTTTCATGTCTGCCATCAACTGGGGTTAGCCACCAAGAAAGGTTGGCGCCTAAAAACAGACTCCAACTGGTAGGAAAACTGCAACCTTAAACCGAACAATTGCTAGAAACTCCCCCCAAGGCAAACAAAAAAACAAGCAATACTTCACACCGCGAGCCACTCGTTCATGCCAACTTTCCCCCCTACCAGAGAGTCGACCATTAGTCGACAAAACTAGTGGGCCGGGGCCCCCTTCCCTGTCTGCCCTCCCCCCCCCCCTCTAGAAGGGGGAAGGGGAGCCCCAGCCCACTGAGCTGGCCACCGTACCATTAGTTTTGTCGATTAAAGCTTAACGGGGTGGATGTCTACTCTGGTCTCAGTTCCTGACAGGCTTTTCACCCAGGCGGTGGTTCCTGCTGTGCGTTGGTGCAGTGGCCAGGAGTGTGGTACCATGGGCTCCACGTGCTTAGAGCTCCCCTTCCTTAAGCGGCTTGTGAGTACACCCCTTGGGTCTCAGGGTTATCTTCCCTCTCCTAGTGGTTGTTACTGGTTGGGGTGCACTGGATTGCAGTGCTTGCATAATCGCAGTGGCCATGCCTCTTTCTGGTCCGCTGGATTATGGTGCTTCCTCGGGGTTCTTATTCCTACTTTTAGTTTACTTTATTGTTTGCTGGGAGGCTGCCAGGGTTCCTATTAGGTGCTACCTAGGTTCAGTAGGGCAGTCCTCCTCTGGGCCTCCAAGGTTGCTCACCTCACAGGGGCCAGTTTGCCCGGATACCATACGGAGTTACAACTGGCTTTGGAGGCACCAGTGCCTGGGCTTCCCGTAAGAATATATCCCCCTGCAGGCCCTGGAAACCCCCATCGGTGCTTGGTTAACTAATGGATGTGTCCTCAGAGTCCTATCTTGCCTTGTGCGAGTTTGACGTTATTTGTTGCCCCCTGTCTCAGAGTGGTGATCACCTGTTCTGCCTCCATCATGCTGCTTGTTGGGTTGCTTCACCGAGGAATAAGACCAACACCTTCAACCCAGAGTTGGTCTTATTCCCCGCTCGCTCTCCAGTTTCCTCATTCTTCTTCGGGAGATCTTAGGGGGTCAAGCAGCTGTCATGTTGCATAGTGGGTTTAGGTAGTTGCAACATGCTAGGTTGGTTGCCCGCTTGATTATCGCGGGGCTGCTCCGTTTGATTAGGCCAGTCCTGGGGGGCATTGGCTGCTTTGGCCTTGGTTCAGTCTGTGCCCTTAAGTCTTTCCATTGTTGGTGTGGTTTGCCTTGCTCCTTACCCCCCTACTCCCGGCTCTTAAACATCTGAGGGTTTCAGAGTCGGGACTGGGTTTAGTTGGGGATGAGACTCGGGAGAGGGGGGGCTGCCCCATTCGATGTGGGGATGGAGGCCTTAGAGTCTGTTCCTCCCGCCAAGGCCTCTGAGTCATCCCAGCAGGCCCCCTTCTTTGAGGCTTTTCCTTTGGACTCTGCCTTTTCTTTAAGGGTGGGTGGGGAAGGAGGCATGGACGTATGGCTCTGCCCCAAAGCCTCTCTTGAGGGGTTTCAGGGCTTTGGGGGGAGCTCACTTGGTGTGCCTGGGTTCCACAATCTCTTGCTTGGGTCTCTGTGCTTCTGAGCAGGGGTCTTCCAGTGGGGGAGGTGGTTTTCAGTCCCTCCTTCCCTTCGGCGTAAGTTTTGCCAGCATCTTCTGCTTTTTGGTCACTCTCCGGTCTGCGATAATGTTGTTTATGTTAGTGGCCATGTTGCTCTCCTGTTTGCACGCCTGGCCACCAGGACGGCACTCCGTGTTGTGTTTATTTTAGTGACCTCAGTATTTGGGTTCACTTGGGCACATTTTTCGTGTGTTTTCATGCTCTGGGGCTTCCAGATGTCTCTTGTCTGCCATTCCTCGGGTGGGTTTTGTCAGCGAGGCCTGGAATGTGGAGGTATGTGGTTTCCAAAGGTTTCCCATTTTGGCAGCAGTCTGCGTTGTCAGTTCTTGTCGCTGGGTGGGTGCTTTGGCTCTTCATGCCGTTTTCTTCCCCCTCTTTTTCACTTCACTGTGTGTTTTTTCTGGGAGGAGCCCCTTCGGCTCCCTTATCCTTATAAGGATAAGGCTTATAAGGAGCTTATCCAGGCTGATATGCTAATGTCAGACTTTGGCATCAGTCATGTGTATGGAGTTCTATGGGCCTACCAGGGACCACAAGCCAGAACCTGGCCCCCTCAGAGAGGCAAGGCGAGCAATGGCCTATAGAAACCCCCGTGTGGTTGGAAGCATTCTATGTTTGCCATTAACCTGATCAGGCACCCAGAAAGGTAAGCGTCCCAAAACAAACCCCAATTCTAGTGAAAATTGCTACCATAAGCCGAACAAGTGGATAGAACTTCCCTAAAAGAAATGACCAAACGATCATGACATCAAACGTCACCGCGCCTCTCTCTGCGCAGCTCCCCCCTCCCTGGGAGGGGGAAGGTGGAGCCCCAGACCTACCGCGCCGGCTATCCACCATCAGTTGTTTTACTGATGCTAGAGGCTGAGGTCGTGTGCTCTGGCTCCGGTGGTTGTTTCAGCACTGTACCTAGAGTGTGATGACTGTCTTCTAGGTGGTGCGTGAGCCGGGAGCGATTCTCCAGTACTCGGGCTACATGTGCCTAGGGTTTCCTTCCCTAGGTTTCCTTGCCCTGTAAGTACTGCCCTTGGGGCTTGGGGCCACCTTCCAAAAGTTCCTTGGGTTCTGCCCCCTGCTAAGCCATTTACTGCTTGGTTTTTGGCCGCCCTTTGTGTGCTCGAGAGTTCTGTCTTCCTTGTTCTCCTTAGTGTAAGGGGCAGTTTTGCACTGGTGGGCCACAGGGTACTACCCGGCTCGTTTTCACTAATAATGGCTGCCGGCTCTGTTTTGCCTGGATACGCTATCCTCTTAAACCCTCTTGACAGTGTAATATGTCTGCTCCCTGGAAAGTACAGAAAATAGACGTCAAAATTGTACCCCTCAAGGTGAAAAAGATTCATCATGAACCGGGACAATTACGGTGTTTGTATGGAAGCATGATATCTCGGTTACCAAGAGGCAACAGTTTACATGTATATTGCGACGGGTCGGTGGCGGAGGATGGCAGGGCAGGGTGTGGTGTCCTAATAAGGGAATATACGGAGTTTGGGACTGTGGACAGGATAATTGAACTCCGGCTTAGTAATTATATATCATCCACACAAGCTGAACTGCAGGCCATTCTGGCGTGTTTGGAGGAAGTACGTCATGACGACAAAAATGTTTTTGTATTTGTCGATAGCCGAGGAGCACTGGAGTCCTTAAACAGTCGAAACCCAGTCTTCATGTCTATAGTTGAGGATTGTAAGAGAAGAATAACTGAGATACAGCTGAAAGGTCATAGTGTGAAATTCATGTGGATTCCATCTCATGTTGGAATAGTGCTCAACGAGGTGGCGGATGACTTGGCCAAACGTGCCACATCAAAACCACAAGTTGACATTGAATGTGAATTCACAATGAGGCAAATAAGAAGCAAAATTAGAAATATTCAGGCACAGGCAGGAGTGGAGAGGAGAGGGATAATGTATGAGAGAAGTCTAACCATGCAACACTACATGTATGTGAGTCAAAACACCCATTTCACTTATGGTAAAAGGAGAAATGCTTGGAGTGACTCTGTGTACATGCGGCTCAGGCTTGGGTACAAATATTACTGGGAATATGGGATAGGTGTTCATGATAATGACACGAAGTGTAAACTATGTGGTATGTTAAGGTCTCACACCCTTACCCATTATGTTCTTGATTGTCCGTTGATTAATGTATGTAGAAACACTGAGATAAGGACTGTTCCTGAGCAAATAGCCTGGATGTGTCACAAAGGAAAGGTTGATGATATTCTTGAGAGATATAAGAATTTTGCACCAAGACTGTAATATTTTGTTGAATTATCTGCATGTCTCTTGCAAATTGTCTATACAGTATAACTAGGTCATAAAAGTATTTGTGTGTACGTCTGATACCATACTACTTGTGAAGGAGGAAATGTACATGTTTATCTCTCAAAATGTTTGGTAACAGGTTTATTGTTTGGATGTGTGTCTATGTATGTACTAACACGTTGTACTGAACGGGGTGAGAATAGCTTGAGCTACCTCATCCCTTTGTGTGTATTTTACCTCAATAAACATATTTCAATTTCAATTCAGTTTCTTGCGGGGTTTTTTTTTTTTTTTTTTTTTTTTATCTGCCTGGTGGGGAGTAGCCTTCATTCTTGCCCCCTGTGTCTCCTGTGTACTGAGTATTCTTCCTTCTTCCGGTGGTTCCCTCTGCTAGGTCCCTGTGAATGTACACGTCCCAGGGGTTCAGTTCTTAGAAGGTTGTTTGGTAGACTTGGGCGCCGGTTAGCAGTACCTTGCCTGGGATTACCTGAACGCGAGTCCTATTATAGTAAACACTCAGGACCCTGGGAAACCCCTGGGGGCATGTGGGTCCGATGGATGTGACCCAGGAGTCCCCCCTCACTTCCAGCGAGTTTGAGGGTTGCTCTCACCCCTTGTCTCAGCGTGACTGTCTTTGCCTCTGTCTGCTGCCTG